GGCCGAATGTAGAGCAGCGTAATTTAAGCGATTCAAACGTGGAATTATTGAACCCTGGCTGGATCTCAATTCGCCCTAGCCACTTTTGAAGGTTTTTCTCATGAGGGAGTGCAAAGTATCGCCTGCAAAACCTATAAGCTCGAGAAGACTGATAGTGTATTGTCTGTCATCTTTGCTGTAACGTCTGCCCTTAGTCCGTCGCCTACAGTTCTTAAGTTGGCTGGAAAAGGAAGCTAAAGCTTTACCGCTCATATACTTTCTGCACTTTTCAAATACATATTTTGTGGGATCATCTCTTACATATAACTTCTTCATTTTTTAAATTTTGCCTTCAGCCTTGTGATTTTTGTTCTGTTACGTTTATCTCTTGCCATTAATTTCTTGTACTTTCTTGTAATTGCTTCTTGTTCAGATGATGATCCTTAATGAGTAACAAACAGAATTAAAAATAAATATCTGAATTATTTAGTACAAAATGTAAAATGATAATGCCATTCTATTTTACAAATTATACGTATTAACAGTTTTAATCTCAAAAGCTCCTACGAGTACAGTATAATAGCTGTCTCTTATACACATCTAGATGTGTATAAGAGACAGTGTTACCACCCACCACCCACCTCCCCGTTTGAAAAATTCTGGATCCGCTCCTGAAGCACATTACAAATAATTATGTAACATAGACAAAATTCAGTTTAATATAGTTTTGTATTTTTCGCTCCTCAGGAGGCAGACCACGAACCCATCGAGCAAAGCTGGCAACAACGCGCAGTTGATCTCCTATATTGGCTGGGGCGTCATGGCGATCTGATCTATGGCATCGCCAACTGGCTATTTGGGAGATAACAATGAACAAAACACAGTTTACGTATCACAATAATAACTAAACATTTGTCATTAAAGAAATGAGCTTTCATTAGTAATTATTATTTTGTCTATAATACAAGCATACTTATAATTACCTATAGTCTAGAAAAAATACACATAATCAAGAAAGTTAGATTTATAGCATTGTGACAATTTTAAAGTTTTATTATATCATAGTTTTTATATCATACCAAGGACCAAACACTTAAGAGTGTAAGCTCCGATGTTTATCACTTTAAATGTCCAGGATGATAGCGATTATTGTAAAACCATGTGGGGCGGATTAAGTGTGGGGTAGGGGGTGCGGGGTGCCTGGCCTGGCCTGCCCTTCCCCCTTTTTGCAAAGTCAAAATAAAAGCAAAAAAAAAAAGAGAAAGAAAGACAGAGAATTATTTATTGCCCAAAACACCTCAGAGGTTATTTACGGGTGTTTAGAAAACAAACAATTTTGCGGGGCATGCCTCTGGGCCCCCTTGGCTAGTGTTATCTCGATCGGCCCACCCTTTTGCCCCACCACCCTTTTGGACATTTCTGGATCCGCACCTGAGAGTAAGGCAACATGTACAGATAGATACTAATATAATGACAAGACTTATTGTTTCTTACTTGTATTCTTGGCCCACGTTTTTTCTAGAGACGACACTTGATCATCTCGGAAAGCACCTCCTACCCTAAGTATATTGTATGTATTCAGACTAGATTTATTCGTAAATGGAATGGGCTACCAGTCAAAATTAGAGATTTTTTTTTTTATGTGATAGCTGGTCAAATTTTAAAGATATTTTTAAAAATCGTTTTAAAAATATAGGCTTATTTAATTTCTAGTAATTCTGTATTGAATATTGTTTGTATGTATATTTTAAGCTTAGTGTTGGAGTGGCACGCCTTATGGTGACAGTTGTTCTTTTAGACCTCTTTTGCCACTCCCTGGGGCATTGAAATTTGTATTGCGTTGTTTGTTTCATATTTGCCAAAATTAATAAAATAACACTTTAATGGATCTTTCTTGAAAAAAATTCATTAACTCCTGGATATAAAAGTATTTATTATTGAGGTGAATTCACCGACGTAAGAAACACTCTTCTCGATCATACACGAAATGGACATTTCAGCTAAGCCCCGCCCCTTGGATATTGTTGCCAAGATCCCACAAGTCGACAGGACGCATTAACTTGCGTTCGTGGGACAACACGCTGTTCTGATTGGTCAGTTGTTAAGTGTGACACCCGGAAAGGTCTATTGTGAAGATTTCCAACAATCAATTAAATTTAATATTTTGTAACACTTGTATATAATTGACAACTCTCAGAGCCAGTCCATCATATTGTTTAAAGAGGCATTTCAATAATTATTTGAACAACAATGGACTTTCAAGCTTTAAAGGAGTTTTCTTTGTTTATGTAGGCCTAGGTATCGTCGTTATGGATTGTTAGGAATCACCGCCATAATATCATGCCTTCAAATTGGAAAATACTTTTGGTACTTATTGCATAGTATTATTATAAATCGCCTCTATAATATCATGTCGTGTATTTGGTTAATACCACAGAGAAAATAGATTCCATTTTCTTTATGGTTAATACGTTTGGTAATTACTGCATATAAGCCTGCAAAATATGGATAAATTCTTATTTCAGATGATCACCCAATAAACAGTCGAAATATTGAAAACAATCACGACAGTGTACATTTCATTTCTTGGAGTATGTAATATTTTTTTATATCTATAGAAGTAAGATGGTTTTTGAATTTTCTATATTTTTATGCGGTTTATTTTTTCCTGTTTTTATTTCGATTTTAATTGTTAGGTTTCAATTTGTTTACAATTGTAATAAAGATTACTTTGAACTTAAACTTGAAAAGACTTGGCTTTTAGCTTCTATTTCCTGTTTTACGGTACTGATTATGGGATGCGATCAATAGTACTTTCTGTTGTTTTGCGCCAATATAATTTGTTCCACATTCAAACTCATCAGGATGCCTCCACATACCACATTCACAAAAATATTTTACCAAGTAGAAAGAACGCCCTCTATAATACACGTAGGGTCGGTAATGTGGGGAATCCCCTATCATACAGGCAGTTATAAAAGAGACTTTGTCATCTATAAAACATATTTATCGCTAATTAATTGGCGTTTAAATAATACTAATCTATACTATCCTATAGTCTTTGGATATTATTTATACCCTACAATTTCTGAAAGCAAATTTAAAGTCTTTAGTAATAAAATTTCTACAAACTGTTAAATATCTGTAATTTATCAAAAGATGACAAATTCAAAATTTTATAAATGTAATTCCATGAGCATTTCAAAATGTGTAATGTATCTGAATAATTCATAGAGCAGCGGAACCAGGAATGTGTAAACTTGGAGCACCAGTACAAAGTGAGACGTGCTAGCGTGGGTATTCGAAGATAGGAAGTTGAAAAGGGGTTGCCCGCACCCTCCCGAAAAATATGCGTGTTCAGTTTATCCTGAAAATACTTTCAATTATATATTCCATTTCAAGTACTTACTTGTAAAAATAAAATAAAATAAATTTATACATAGGTTGAACCAGGATTAATGCCTGACACTTCTCAGCACACCATCACAAAGCTTAAAAAAATGTACATCAGACTACATGGCTTTTATTCCGTCCACTGATGTCATCGGACTCTTGTTTGTCGTCATGTGTATGAAATGCGTGTTTCCTTTTACTTTTTGTTAGCAGCGTTTTATTTTTGGTTTGCTGGTAATTTTTGTTTTTGTTTGCAGCGTTTCTTTTTTCTTATCCTTTTTTTCTTTTTTTTTTTTGCATTTTTGTTTGCAGCATTTCATTTTTGTTTGCAGCATTTCTTTTTGTTTGCAGTGTGTCCCTTATGGGCCATTGTAGAAATTGAACCGGGGACCAACAGAACACATGCTAACATCAGCTCTCACTCTAATGCTCCTAATCGTCTATCGGCAGTAAATACAGAAAGTTGGAATGATATACTTGAACATTCCTACTAAAAGATTTATAACTGTTTTAAAAAGGCAAACAAATACCAAACAATGGATCTAAAGCTACAAATATTCAAAATAGCCAAATGAATTGTGAAAACCATCAGCCCTGAGGAAATCATACAGTTTGATATTTATTCAGGTATAAAGACATATACACTTACAAACAAAGAATATAAAAGTAACGACATATACAAAAATATAGTATCTATATTATTATGCTTACTATTATTGCTACAGTTCTAATAAATACAGAAAAGCGGATTTGTGTAGTCCCATATTCTGTAAACATTTAATTAGATTTCTTTTACTTCTCGACAAATTGTGCTTAGAACCTCGTGGCCCAGTTCTACCCAAAGGGAAAGACCTGCCCTCCCCCGCATCTCGGCGCCCCTGTCCCACTGGTCTACTAACTGAACTTTGTATGTTTAAATTGATGAATGAAATTTTCTTGTTTCTTGTATCTTTTGCTTTTTGTCAAACATAGCTGGAAACTCTTTAGAAAATGATTAAATTCACTATTATTTTTTTAGGCTTTCATTTAACACAATTTTTGTTGGCAAATTGTTTGCTTTTTTTGGTATAATACTTTTCCGAATAAATTATATATGAAATTAATTAACAATAATAATTAATAAGCAAACATGTAAGCAATACACAATAATATGTAATAAACAAATAGAACAAGTAACTAACTTGCAATATTTATTTGTTTACTTTTGTGTGTGCAAATATTTTTAATAGTTAAAACAAAATATATAGTCCTGTTTATTATTTCCTCACCAACCACAAGCAGAAGATCACGTGGCATCGCTGAATACAATCCTACATACAACATAATTTTTTTTTTTTTAACAATCTTATTGGTTTGGGAATGGCTGCATTTATGTACCACTCTTGATTAGTACAGTAGAAAAATACATATAAAACAGAAATTTTATAATCATAATTGAACAGAGATTACGAATACAATCTAGGCCTACCACTTGTCACATGAATACACCAACACACATTAACACTTGGCAATCATTGAATTGGTAATTGAGAGCGTCGAATGTGTCATGAAGACACCTTTTAAGGTACTGTAGGATGTTAATTCAACGACTCACACGTGGGCAAAGTGTAACCTGCAAGCCACATTTTGTTGCTGCTCGCGATAACCCTGTGTACTTTGGATATAAAACCCTTTGTTTTTAAGGCCAGATATATCTCAGACCCAACACTACTGTGCGGCACCAACAATAAAAATGCAATGTCAATTCTAATATACTATTGTCCTATTAGCATTTGAATGAACTTGTCATGCCGTTTACTTACCTGTCGAGCTGAAATCAGGCGTGGAATACGATTTCAAATGATCAAGTACATAGGGTCGTCGAACCTTCACTCCTTCGTGTTCTAAAATTCGGAAAAATCCGCAATCTCTAACGAAGCCTTCCTCATGTGTTCTCTTTAAAAAAAATTCCACCGTTTTCGGGGACGACAGCCTTAAGTAAAGAATTAGAAAGAAACAGAGTTACTATATTATGACGTTTTTACACACCAAGATCAAGAATCAAAACCATAACCACCCTTGCGTCATTGGTTCATTCCCTTAGTCAGTAGGGCCATCGTATTCGTCGATAGATTAGGTCCCCTTACTTTTAAGTGTGTGGGAGTGAAAACATAGCCTTTTAACTCAAGAAGTTACCGCTGCGTAAAAGGTTAAGCCATGAATTAGCAGCTCGCATGCCTAATGCAGCTCATCTTGCTCACAATAGAAAGAAATTACAGTTAAATTAAATGGAATGGACGTCTTTCGTTTTCTTTATTTGCATCAACACCAGCTTGCGGCTGTGGTTGCGTCTGATGCCAGTTAAGCCTTGCTCCAAAAAAAAAAATAAATAAAAAAAATAACCGCTGCATTTTCTCTACAGCGTGGCTGTCACCGAAAACTATCGGGAATTGAAGATCTGTTCAAAAAATGCAGCCTTACATTTCGCATACGCCAGCGCATGCATCGTCAAGCGAAGTACAGGCGGAAATGAAGTTTGAAGTTTTCTGATTATCGGTCACAGAGTCTATGAACAGATTTAGCATTCATGACCAGCCTACCTAGATTTCTGGCGTTAATTCTGGAACAGTGGCGTTCTCAACTCGTCTGACGATCACTTCTTCTAAAGGATCCCATTCATTAAAGGAGCAAACTGGGCTTTTAGCAACTTGGGCTTTCTGTTTTTTGAATGCTGAGTACTTCTCGACCGTGTCAAAACTTGACATATACTGCCAAAGATTTTCTAAAATATAATACAGTAATCTTTCTTAGTAATATTTACCTATACTATATATATATAAATTACTCCCTTCCTCCATTCCCTCCTTTCATGGAAATTTAAATGTTATTCCATGAAACATATTATCTTCCTTTATTTTCATAAACAACATTCAAAGTACTCCTCTTCTCTCCGCATGTACACTTCTTAGCCTGTCTCTTATACACATCTAGATGTGTATAAGAGACAGATCTCTATCACCTTAATAGTATTTGAGCAAGGGTGACCATTTGTGCACCCTGACCCCAATGACCCCAACGTAGTGTGAGCTATAACTTAAACTAGTATAGTTCCATGTGCAACTTTAATTCACATTAATGTAATCGAAGTAATAATTTTCATAATCTGATATAATTGAATGACTTCTACTTCCCCACCACATCAACCATCACAAATGACTGACACCACTGATGACCACAAACACCACCACCACCGCAATCAGCACCTGCCACCACCACCACCATGATAACAGGGGGCACAAATTGAAAGAGGGCACTTCCGAAAGATTGGTTAAATGAGCTTATGAAACACATCCATTTATACTTCGCTGCACTTTGTGATACCTATCGCAAGCTGTATTCAGAATAATACAGCAGTAAAAACATGCAAATATCATTAGTTTTTGGGAGCTGGGTTAGTTCCTAAAAAAAGTTTGCTTGGTTGAGTAAGTGCAGGAGGCTGTCTGAATTTCACAGGTTGCGGGACACTTCAGACCCCTATAGACGAGTCGAGTATCAAGGCAGGGGCGCCGCTAACTACAGCCCTAACATCGGCGGTGATTCCAGCCGCTCCTCGCCAATAGTTTGGTTCTTTAAACCAAGTCTTCTCGGAAAAGGACTTGGAAATGGAGGTCCTGTGTACACATCTGACTCGTGTGCACTTTAAATAACCCATTGCATCTTTCGGAAGAGTATGGAGTTACCCGATTTTATGGTTCATTTGAGCACCTGTCGTGGAATGATGTGATGTTACGATAAGCGACTCGTTACGGCTGCTAGTTAGTCATGAATCATGCCCATGTGCAATTAAGCCGCGAGTTATGGGTTACTCTCCTACGTTTCGTAATAATGCATCATGAGTGGATTTCTCGCACGATAAAAATCGTAATGGTACTAGGCTTGGTTTACAGTAGACTTGCCACAAGTCTCTTATTTTTTATTATTTAAAAGACAGCGCCACCAACGAGAAAGTTAATTTATAGACGGAATAAGCGACTTGTAAAACACTGAAATCAGGCACCAGGATGCCAAAAGAATGACGTAATCTTATATTCCGTATTTGGATAAATGGGCAGACCGAAATAAACAATTTCAACCAATCAAATGTTCATATTTTTGGAGCCACGAATCTGAGTCACTCGCGTCAACTAGTTAGGCCATAGGTTCATGGTTAGGTGTGACTGAATTTAAATAGTCTTCCCTAATCAAACGGGCCTAAAATATTTAGAATAGACCCTAGCAAGACTAATGTTGGCAATGGCAAAAACAATTAAGCTTAGACTAGATGGCATACCATACAAATACAACAAAACTTTAACTTTCCAGTAGGATGGCTCGGGCCTCGCCTGGAGTCAGGTAGTAGGCCTACCTAGCCTAGACTAGTAGAGGATTGGCCTATTTTTAAGTTCTTACTTACAGAGGCCTACCTTTTTAACAATATTCTACCCTAAAGGCCTAAATCTGTGTAGCAGCTAGTGGTGAGCAAGGTTCCAAGTAGGCCTATAGCC